CCATGAGACATTGCAATTGGATTTTAAAAAAATTTACACAGTGCACAATGCCAGTGCTTGCTATGGTGAGAATTTTTATGTGCCATAACTCAGCTGCTAGCCTGCTACTGTGTTATTATTATGGTATGTGTGGGTTAGAAGTGAATTGCATTGTAAAGTTTTCCTATTTTTGCCATTTTTAGTAGAGGTTCCTGTGAGTTGTAAATTATTTCAAGGTTTCCTCCAGAATAAAGGACTAGAACTCACAATTTGTTTATTTGCAGCCTAGTGGTTAAGGCTAATCACTACATCAAACTGGCTCTCTAAAAAAAGGAGAGTATTTTTAAAATAATGCATATATTGAAAGAGCGTGAAATGTCCATTGGTTCAAGAGCCTCTTTGGGTTCCATTCATCTGAAAGTGCTGAAAGTCAGTCCCTAAAATAGAGTGGGCCCAGGACATTGATTCTGAGAAGCTTTCAGGATCTTAAATCACTGGTATGCTGGTCTAATTTACTCAATGTAAGAATCCAAATTAAAATATCCCGGACAGCCTCTGCCTTTTTAGCAAAAAGGAACATATCATCTTCTCTGGATAACTGAGTCCTCTATCCAATTCTTAACATACAATTGTAATTTGTAATGTAAATTTGTTTTCCCATGAATGAAAGAGAACAGCCCCTGACTTTCCTGCACCTTAACTTGAGGGTGTCTCATTCAAGTCTCCTCATGCAATTTGTTCCAAAATGGACACTTCTATCAATGGAAGTGATATAATATCCTGCCATCAGCATTATTATAGTGTCTGTTTGAAGGTCACTAGAAAACACTTCTGAGCCCCAATCCAGTGTCTGTTGGACAAAGTATCTCCTAAAAATGCCCAAGTGAGCTATAACTTTTCTTGGTTTGTATTATTTTGCAGCATGTAGTACCTGGCCACACAAACATACATACATACATACATACATACATACATACATACATACATACTTTATTTATTTATTTATTTATTTATTTATTTATTTATTTATTATTTATTTATTTATTTATTTATTTATGCATGCAATTTGTATGCCGCCCCTCTCCGAAGACTCAGGGCGACTCACAATGCATTTAAAATTATTATAAAAAACATTTAAAAATTAAAAACATTAAAAACATTAAAACTCATTCACACCATTCATGGCTGGATCTCGCCGGATCACAAGAGTGAGATCAATGGCCCCAGGTCTGCTGGAAAAGCCAGGTCTTCACCGCTTTTCGGAAGGCCAATAGGGTGGGGATGGTCCGACCTCAGGAGGTAACTGGTTCCAGAGAGCTGGGGCAGCCACAGAGAAGGCCCTCCCCCACGGGCCCGCCAGCTGGCATTGTTTAGCTGACGGGACCCAGAGGAGACCAACTCTGTGGGATCTTACCGGTCGTTGGGAGTTATGCAGTTGAAGGCGGTCTCGAAGATACCCTGACCCTGAGCCATGTAGGGCTTCAAAGGTAATAACCAACACCTTGAATTGTGACTGGAGACCAATAGGGAGCCAGTGCAGCTCGCAGAGAATTGGTGTAATGTGGGTGTACTTAGGTGCACCCACGACAGCTCGCGCAGCTGCATTCTGGACTAACTGTAGTCTCCAAACACTTTTCAAGGGTAGTCCCATGTAGAGCGCGTTGCAATAATCTAACCGTGAGGTGACAAGGACATGAGTAACTGTGAGGAGAGCCTCCCGATCCAAGTAGGGTCGCAATTGGTGCACCAGGTGAACCTGTGCAAAGGTCCCCCTAGCCACAGTTGTCAGACATTGCTCTAATCTTAGCTGTGAGTCTAGGAGGACACCCAAATTGCGAACCCATTCTGAGGGGGACAATTTCTCCCCCCCCCCAGAACCAAGGATGGACAATGAACTTTAGGAGGCAATACCCACAGTCACTCGGTCTTATCTGAGTTAAGTCTGAGCCTGTTGACTCCCATCCAGACCCTCACAGCCTCCAGGCACCAGCACATCATATCCACCGCATCACTGAATTGACGCGGGGTAGAAATATACAGCTGGATATCATCAGCGTATTGCTGATACCTCACCCCGTATCGTCAGATGATCTCACCCAGCGGCTTCATGTAGATGTTAAATAGGAGGGGAGAGAGGACCGAGCCCTGAGGCACCCCATAAACGAGGGGCCTAGGGGTCGACCTCTGTCCTCCTACCAACACCGACTGTGATTGACCAGAGAGATAGGAGGAGAACCACCGTAACATGGTGCCTCCCACTTCCAGCTCCCTTAGTCATCCCAGAAGGATACCATGGTCAATGGTATCGAAAACCGCTAAGAGGTCAAGTAGCACCAAGATGGAGGAATGACCCCATCTTGGGCTCGCCAGAGATCATCCATCAGCGTGACCAAAGCAGTTTCTGTGCTGTAGCCAGGCCTGAATCCAGACTGAAAAGGGTCTAGATAATCCATTTCCTCCAATGACCGCAGGAGCTGAAGTGCCACCACTTTCTCTACAACCTTTTCCACAAAGGGTAGGTTGGAGACTGGACGAAAGTTCTTTAATTCTGCTGGATCCAGGGAAGGCCTCTTGAGGAGGGGCCTTACAACCGTCTCCTTTAATGGTTGTGGGAAGGCCCCTTCCCTTAAGGACGCGTTAACTAAAGCCTGGAGTCTGCCTTGTGTCACCTCCCTGCTGGCCAAAACCAGCCAGGAGGGGCACGGGTCCAACAAACAAGTGAAGGAACTCATCGCTCCTACAGCCTTGTCCACTTCCTCAGGAGTCACAGGCTCAAACTCATCCCACACAATAGGACTAAGACCTGCCCCTGTCATCTCGGTCGGAGTTGCCCAATCAGAGTCCAGGTCCATCCGAATCTGAGCGACTTTATCCGCCAGAAACTGCACAAACTCCTCAGCTCTACCCTGCAAGGGCTCCTCCACTCCCCCTACATTAAGCAGGGAGCGCGTCACCCTAAATAGGGTGGCTGGGCGCGAATCCACGGATGCAATAAGTGCGGAAAAATGTGAATATTTTGCCGCCTGTATCGCCACTAAATAAGTCCTAATAAAGGCTCTTAAGAGTGTTCGGTCAGATTCGGAGTTACTGGTCCTCCAGCGTGGTTCTAGATGTCTCTTCTGGCGCTTCATCTCCCAGAGCTCCTCGGTAAACCAGGGAGCTTTCCTGGATCCACCGCCATGGAGAGGTCGCAAAGGCACAATCCAGTCCAGTGCCCCAGATGCCGCCCTATTCCAGGCAGCTGTCAGGGACTCAGCCGGACTGTGGACAAGGGAGTCAGGTATCTCCCCAAGCTCCTTCTGGAACCCTTCAGGGTCCATTAGGTGCCTGGGGTGGAACCACTTAATCGGTTCCGCCTCCCTGCGGATGAAGGAGTAGCATCCTGAAGTCTAACCTCAGCAGGAAATGATCTGACCATAACAAGGAAGAAGCATCTATACCCCTTAATTCCAGATTATATCTCCACTGCCCCGAGAGAAACACCAGGTCAAGTGTGTCCCCCCCTCATGAGTCGGACCCTGAACTACTTGGGTCAAGTCCATGGTTGTCATGGAAACCATGAACTCCTGAGCCACATCTGAGGATTCGCCAAGTACGGCAAATTGAAGTCCCCCAGTACCATAAGCCTGGGGAACTCCACCGCCAGCCCAGCTACCACCTCTAGCAGCACAGGCAGGACTGTTGTAACACAGCTGGGAGGCAGGTACGTCAGCAACAAGCCCAACTGAACCCCTGAGTCCAACCTCAAAAGGAGAGACTCACACCCAACAATCTCAGGGGCAGGGATCCTGCGAGGGCAAAGACTCTTCCGGACAATGGCTGCCACTCTCCACCCTTCCCTGTAGTCGCGGCTGATGCAATATCTGGAACCCGCCTGGGCACATCTCTGAGAGGGGCACACCCCCCTCCTGGCCCAGCCAGGTCTCAGTTTTGCATGCCAGGTCAGCCCCCTCCTCCAGGATTAAGTCCCGAACGAGGGGGGCCTTGTTAACAACAGACCTGGCATTAAACAGCAGCAGCCTGAGGTCAGGGCTCTGACATCCCGAGTCACCAGGTATACGAGGCAAGCCCAATGAACCAGAACCAGAGGGGCTGGAACAAGTAATCGCTTTGAAACAGCAAGTCCTAGTTCCCCGAGAGCGGCCTACCCCTCGGCTCCCGCCATATCTACCTCTCCTGGTCATAACCGCAATACTCTGGCTCTCCAACACCCCAGAGATCCTCTCCCCCACCTCAATGGACCCCCTCCTCCCCGGCAGGCAAGGCACCCCACTCATTCTAAGCCAAGGATCATATCTGAGCCCCCATTTGTTTCTGTTTGCACACTCAGAAGAGGGGGCTCCATTCCTTGCCCCCAGCTCCCTCAAATTCAGTCACTCGAAACCCATTCCTTCCATCCCATCCATCCCAATACCCTCACACATACACACATGCACACCCTCCCCAAGATAAAATTAATGTATTAAGCCAAAGGTGTTAAGTGGATTAAAACACATCTAAAACTAAAGTCTAAAAAATGCTCCTTCTGAGATCCATGGGTCTCCAGCTCCCTTCGCCAGTAAGAGTGCAGCATGCCTGGATGTGCCACTGGTGATCTTTAATAGATGTTAGTTTCAGGAACTGAGAAATTTCAGCTACCGTCATGCAGTTTTTAACATCCTGTTTGTTAGCAAAGATGAGCAAGCCTGCTTTTCTCAAATCCTCATGTGCTAACTGTTATGTCCTTATAAGGACATCCGCCCGGATTGGCTGCGAGCCATCGGGCGGGAGATTTGAATCCCTGTCAAGGGGCGGTGCGTCTGCCGGGAGCGAATATAAGGAGAGCCCCGGCAGCGCGCCTGCAGTCTTGTCTTGTTACTTATGTAGCTAATAAAGTTACTTAATGTATTGAGCTGGTCGCGTCTTCATTTCCTGCGCCTGATCCAACACTGGCGACGAAGGACTAGAGAGGAGAACCTGAACAAGACTCGTGGCACGATCGCCCACCCAGCTGAAGACCCAAAACCACAGCGACCCTCAGAATGGCAACTCCGCAAGCTCCGATTGCCGCACTGAACCCATTCGACCCATCCCGAGAGAAGTGGAGGTCGTACATGGTCCGATTTCGGCAGTTCCTGCGAGGCAATGGCTACCAGAACCTCGACGATGAGCGGAAAAGAGCCCTCTTCCTGGCTCACTGCAGATCGGACGTCTTGGAGATGGCGATTGACCTCGTGGCACCCAGGGACATTGAGGAGATGTCCTGGAACGACCTGCAAGAAGCCCTGCAGGAGCATTACGCACCCACAGGCACCCCAATCGCAAACAGGTTCACCTTCCAGCAGAGAAACCAGCGGGAAGGTGAATCCATCAAAGAATTCGTGGCAGCGCTTCGCCAGATCGCTGCCAACTGTGAGTTCGATAATGTGGACAACGCCATCCGAGACCGCGTTGTTTTTGGAATGCGAGATGTGGGTCTGCAAAAGAAGTTCCTCAGCCGAAAGAGGATACCACTCAAAGACGTCCTCGACGAAGCAACAGCGGCTGAAACATCCGAGAAGGCAGCCGCCGCGATGGTAAAAGCTAGAGGGATCCATAAGATCCACAAGTCGGCTCTGACCTCGTCAGACGACTCAACAACACAATCCGAGTCTGATGAGGAAAGGGCCGTCCACAAGGTTTCCCGTCCCCCCAGGTGGGAAAACCCACAGCAGGGCAACCGGAGAGAACGATGCGGCAGCTGCAAAGGCGACCACCCCAGGGCAACCTGCAGATGGAGGGACGCGACCTGCCGCCGATGCCTGAAGAGGGGGCACATCGCCGAGGCCTGCAGAGCAGCAGATCCAGCCCCGGAACCGCCCAGACCACGATTCCGCGAGAATCGCAAAGATAACCAGAGGACATCCAAATGGTCCTCGAACCAGTCCCGGCGCGGGGAGGACGACTATCCCCGCAGCAGAATGGTGCACCAGACAACCATCGCTCACACAAGTGACGAGGGGACCACCAAGTTCCACGTGACGCTGATGGCGGAAGGGTCACCGTGCAAGATGGAGGTAGACTCCGGATCCGCCTACTCCATCATGGACTGGCAGCACCTACAGCAGCTGAAGCCATCCTGCAAGAAGACCCAGCTGAAAACCCCGAAGTCGAGGCTTGTGGACTTCAACGGAAATCCCATCGGAATCCTGGGCAGAACCACCATCCACATCAGATACAAGGACTTTAACGGAGAGCTGCCCATCACCATCGTGGAGAACAGCCGACCGAACCTGTTAGGAGTGGAGTGGTTTAAGCCGCTGGGGCTTTCCATTGAGGGCATCCACGAAATCCATAGGGACGAACTCGACACCATCCTCGAAGAGTTCAAAGAAGTCTTCGATGGTAAGCTGGGGAAATTTGTGGGGAGGCCAATTTCCTTCAATCTGGACAAGGGAATCACCCCAATTAGGCTCAAGCCCTGCCGAGTTCCGTTTGCCCTGCGGCCTAAAGTAGACAATCAGCTGGATAAGCTGATCGCCCAGGGCGTCCTGGAACCGATCGATCATGCCTCATGGGAGACCCCCATTGTGACCCCACTGAAGCATGATGGGTCTGTGCGCATCTGCGCCGACTACTGTTGTACCATCAACAAGGCGTTGGCACAGAGTGCATACCCAGTCCCAGTAGTGCAACACCTGCTGCATTCCCTGGGATCTGGCTCAATTTTCGCGAAACTGGACCTGGCCCAGGCTTACCAGCAACTGCCAGTGGATGAAAAAACGGTGGAGGCACAAACAGTTGTCACGCATAGGGGGGCATTCAAATGTAACCGCCTCCAATTTGGAGTCAGCGCTGCCCCAGGCATTTTCCAATCTATGATGGAACGCCTTCTCCAAGGCGTTCCAGGGGTGGTGCCTTACTTCGACGATGTGCTCGTCTCAGGTGACTCAAGAGCTCAACTCCTTGAACGGCTCAGGCTTGTCCTGCAGCGGTTCAAGGCCAAGGGTTTGAGAGTCAGGTGGGACAAGTGCACCATAGGAGTACAGGAAGTCGAGTTCCTGGGCTATCTCATCGATAGCACTGGCATCCACCCCACCAAATCAAAAGTGGAAGCAATCCATGAAGCTCCAAGCCCAAAAAACAAAATGGAGCTTCAGGCTTTCCTTGGGTTGCTCAACTTCTACGCCATTTTCTTAAAACAGAAAGCCACAGTTGCTGAGCCACTCCACCGCCTGCTGGGGAAAGCGGCTTCCTGGAAGTGGGGCCAGGAAGAGGAAGCAGCATTCTGGGCCATCAAAGGACTATTGACGTCCAAGAGCGTTCTCATCCAATACAGTGAGACGCTCCCCATCAAGCTGACCTGTGATGCATCGCCTTACGGGGTGGGGGCAGTCCTCAGCCACGAACTGCCCAACGGCTCGGAAGCCCCGATCGCTTACTTCTCGAAGACCATGTCCGGCGCAGAACGGAACTACAGCCAGCTGGACAAAGAAGCCCTGGCCATCGTGGCAGGAGTGAAGCGCTTCCACGAATACCTCTACGGAAGACGCTTCACCGTAGTCACTGACCACAAGCCACTCCTGGGACTCCTCGCAGGCGACCAACCCACCCCGACCTTCATGTCCCCGCGGATGACGAGATGGGCCATCTTCCTAGCTGGCTACTCCTATAGGCTCGTGCACCAGCCAGGCACAGCCATAGGAAATGCCGACGCACTCAGCAGATGCCCATCGAAGAATCCAGTCGAAGACCCAGCCCCCATGCTCCACCTATTCCATATAGATGATGACGCCAGCTGTCCGGTGTCGTCCGCAGATGTGGCCGTCCACACCCAAAAGGACCCCACACTCCGCCAAGTGAAGTCCTGGATCCTCAGAGGGTGGCCATCGGAAAAGACAGAGGAAAGGTTCAGCCCGTTCGCCAGGAAACAGAAGGAGCTGTCCACCATAAAGGGCTGCCTGCTATGGGGAGACAGGGTGCTGATTCCAAGCACTCTGCAACGGCGGACGTTAGAGACTCTGCACAAAGGGCATCCGGGCATCGTCCGCATGAAGGCTCTGGCACGGAGTTACGTCTGGTGGCCCTCCATGGACAGAGACATTGAGCAATGGGTCTCCAGATGTGACCCGTGCCAAGAAGTTCGCCCAGCGCCGCCACAATCCGATGTCGCGAAGTGGGAGACCCCCAGCAACCCCTGGTCGAGGATCCACATTGACTTCGCGGGTCCGATGCAGGGGCGACACCTCCTCATCGTGGTAGATGCCTTCTCCAAATGGCTCGAGGTGGTGCCCATGGCATCTACCACAACAGAAGCGACGATCCGAGCCCTGCGCCGTCTGTTCGCCACACATGGACTACCGGACGTGCTGGTCTCGGACAACGGCCCCCAGCTCACATCCCTGGCCATGGAGTCCTTCCTGGCAGGACTGGGCATCCGCCACGCCCTGTCCGCCCCGTACAGGCCGGCCGGAAACGGACAAGCTGAACGCATGGTCAGACTCACCAAAGAAGCCCTCACCAAGATGGGCCCGGGAGACTGGCAAGAACGCATAGACAACTTCCTCCTCACCCAGCACATCACACCACATGCCACCACCCACAAGAGCCCGGCCGAACTACTAATGGGCAGAAGGTTGAGGTCACCCCTGGACCGGCTGCACCCCCAATACAGCCCGGAAGTGACCGCAACCGCCAGCCGCCCGCTTCGCGCCTTCAGCAAGGGAGATTCAGTTTTCACGCTGAATTTCAACGGCTCTCCTAAGTGGCTGAAGGGGAAGATTGCCAGCACAACCGGCCCCAAATCCTACACCGTCGAGTTGGAAGATGGGCAGGTCTGTAGACGCCACATCGACCAACTCCGGAAAAGGTGGGGGGGAGCACACGAAAACCAGCCTGATGAGGGAGGCCTACAACACCCAGACGAGGTAGGCCTCCAACACCCCGGCGAGGTAGACCTACCACACCCAGACGAGGTAGGCCTACGACACCCCGGCGAGGTAGGCCTACCACACCCCTGCGAGGCAGAGCAACGCCATCCCGACGAGGTCGGCCCAGCTCACTACCAGGTACTGTCACGTCAGCAGTCCAGCGAGGTAGACCGGGGCCAACCGCTCGGGAGATGGCAACACCAACCCAGCCAGGTGGGCACCTGGCACAGCAGGGCCAGGGACCACCAACCCAGCCCGCAAGTAGACCGGGACCTGCCCAGAGAAGGAGCAGCGCACCCCACCAGTGATGGCAGCCTACACCAGCCCAGCCAGGGAGACCGCAGTTCTAGGCGAGTAGACCGGGACCCAGCCAAGACGGGCACCCCACTACCCACGGGCGAGGGTGGCACACGACTCCCCGGCGAGAGGGACCCCCACCTATCTCAGAGGACAGCCAGCGAACAACAACCCGACCCGGATGACCCCAGGCACCACCCGATGGTAGACCAGGGACTAGGGGAAAGGGAAAGCCGACAACAACCCGGCCAGGGAGACCTACACCACCCCGGCAGGGGAGACCTCCGCCGCCCCGCAGAGGTAGTCCCGCAACAACATCCCGACCAGGTCGACCACCACCAACCAGACGGGGTAGACCAATGCCAGCCCAACCGAGGGGACCAACGCCACCCCTGCGAGGTCGGACAGCACAACGCAAGCCAGTACCAACCGCGACCGGCTGACCGGACCCGAGGGCACTGAGCGGAACCACCACCCAACCGGCAGCAGGCCGAACCGCGACCGAACCGCAGCGCCCGGGAGACCAGGGAAGAGCAAGCGACAGACTTACCGAGACTCAGACGCTCTTCCCGGGTTGGAACCGAGCAATCGAGACGAGGCGAGAGATCCACAGGCCAGGAGGAAGACCAACAGAACCAGCCATCCAAGGTCTGCGGTCCGGCCGGAGGCGCTGGGGGTGACCCCGCTCACTCGACAGCCGAACCGAGCCCGGTTCCGGAGAGGGAACCAGGAGACGAAGGAGCCCCGTCCATCCAGGCCGGGGACGGAGAAGAAGTGAGACTGCGCAGGTCAGCTAGGGTGCCGAGGCGTCCTACGTACCTGCGCGATTACGTGACTTTTGTGGACGAGATTTGACAGTTCGGACTAAGGGGGGAGGAGTGTTATGTCCTTATAAGGACATCCGCCCGGATTGGCTGCGAGCCATCGGGCGGGAGATTTGAATCCCTGTCAAGGGGCGGTGCGTCTGCCGGGAGCGAATATAAGGAGAGCCCCGGCAGCGCACCTGCAGTCTTGTCTTTACTTATGTAGCTAATAAAGTTACTTAATGTATCGAGCTGGTCACGTCTTCATTTCCTGCGCCTGATCCAACACTAACATTTTATATAATTCTACTTTAGTTACGGAAATTCTTTCTCTGTCTGTGCTATCCACAACAAGTATCATAAACTCAGTATTTGTATAATATGTGTTCCATGATGATCGAAGAGATTTTTAGCCTCCAATATCCCACATAAGAAAACGTGTATTATTAAGGTTAGAAACCAAGAGTCTAAGATCCAAGATTTATAATCTTTTTTGCTTTGGAGAGCTCAAGGCTCTTCCCCTCCTTTCGATGGCCGATGAATACACTGTCTCTGAGGTGAAAAAGATGAAAAAGTATCCCCAGGGATGCAGAGTTACCTTGACTACCTTAAGCTTTTCTGTAGGAAACATTCATTTCTTTTCTACATTATTCAGAGGGATAGTGAATTTAGATTGAAATTCTATGTATAACAGAAAAGCCAAAAATCTAAACTCTCCTGTGAGCTCAATTCCTGGTGACTACATAATATGTATGTTTATATTATTCGCCTGGCAATAAGACACTAGTGTTTGGCATTGCCTTCTGATGGTTTTTTTTTTATTATTCTAATTTAGGCTACCTCTAGTTAGTACCTCTATTAGACATGCTGAGGGTTTGCAGACTGGTATTTTGCGGCAGCATTATGCATTCATATTGACTGGCACACAGAACAATCTTTTAACCAGGGCAGCAACAATATTTTTTTTATTTATTTGTAATTATTTTAACAAATAATTTAAGATGGCAAATGTCCACCACACTTTCTTTCTCTGTATTTCCCCACAACAACCCTGTGAGATGGATTGGGCTGAGAGAAAATAACTGGCCCAAAGTAACCCGGCTGGCTTTCATGGCTAAAATGTATAGAGCTTAGTTTTGTAAGAGCTTTGAGATAAGTGTCTTGGAAGTGAGTAGTTAGGGCTATGCCTCATATAAGAACTTACAAATGGTGTCACTGAACTGTTTTCTTTGCTGAGCAAAGGTATTTTTCATTTGGATGGATATTGAAGGAGCTTCTTTAAATCACAGGGAAATAGAAGGAATGCTTCCTAGTAAATCTTTGGATTACATTTTAAGCATCAGTATTTCAGTGGAAAAGGTTACTGCCTATGGAGGCATTTTCCGTCAACACCATCTTCCATAACTAAATACAACATTCCTCACCTACTCAGCCCTTCCATCACCATCAATCTTGGCCATGATTACACGATAAATACAGCCTTTTTTTTAATCAGCTAATATAGTCTGAGAAGCAAAGGCAGAAGCAAATTTTTGTGCTCAGACCTGCTCAATCTTTATTTGGTTCCTTGAGCTAAGAAAGCAAAACTGATTAGCCCTCTTCAATTAGAAAAGCATATGCTAGTGGAAAGGAAGATTATGCATTAATCTCCCCAGAGGAGAAATGACCATGAAAATTATACCAGCTTGCAATTTCTACAGAAGGCAAACAAAATAAAAACATATCTCAACAAACATTGCTTAATTTGCAGGAATGAAATATCTTTTAAGAAGACATATAAAACTTTTTGCTATGAAATCTGTAAGTGTTACATCATCTTTTAAAATTTAAACATTATTTGTTTTAGAGTCTAGGACATGTATTTGTTTCTGAAGTGGGAAAGATACAATACAACTTTTACTGCCTAACTTTTATGAAAGGAACAATTTATCTGAAATGAATCAACTGTCAATATCATTGTATAGCAGATTCCAGATATTTCAAAGTTAGTGGTGTGGGGTGTTTTTTTCTTTTATCTGCTAAATATTTTAGAGATTTCAATGGTGGACTAGAAGTTACCAAATATACCAGACTCCCCTTGTCGTGCCAGACTGATTTGGCAAATAATCTTTATTTTTATTTAATTAATCAGAAATAAGCCATTAATTAATGAAAAATTAGTATGTGTGAGTTTTCAAAACATCAAACCTTCTCCCCTCTTTCTTGTGTTACTTCATTTTGTTTCATTCTTTAGGAACCATTTTACCAAAATACAAATAGATTTGGGAGCAAATGACCCATAAAACATTATTCAAATTACTGTGTTTCTGTCAAAGCTTCAATATCTCCACAATTATATTGTCCTCACAATAACTTGCATTAAAGCTCGAATTTTATTGGATTGATTTCATTTCTTGAAAAGGATACTTATCTTTTTCTTACACTTTTGGGATTAAGCATCAGGGGAGGTTGTTGGGGGTGTTTTAGTTTAGGAACATTATTCAAAGAATGATCTCCTGGGAAGGACACTCTATTTTTTGAATACAGCATGAGGTTAATACTCACTTTGTATGGGTAGGTGCACTAAAGGAAGAAATGAATACATAAAACATCTGATCCCAACATTTGTGGCTTCAAAACACAATTCCTAGCATCCCTGTCCACTGATCATCTGGTTGAGGTTGATGGGAGTCCTATCCAAAACACAGTTGAAGAAGACTACACTATAACAAGTAGGGTACATTCAATAGAAGCCTTAAAAAATCTATTTCTAAAATATATGGAGTATTAAGGAGTGGGTCATGGAGTGGGAGGCAACGCTAGCAGATTGTTCCTCAGCCATTTACAGTTTAACGAGAACCACCCAACCAACCGGTTTGTCACCAAGATTTGTTTCCACAGAAGCCAATTCGGTCCAAAAAATAAGAACCGGTTTATCAAGCATTCGGAACAATAGATAGTATAAACAGAATAATGATATACCATCCAGGCGGTTTTCCAGCCATCCAGGCAGTTTTCATTCCTGGGCAAGGCGGGCCAGGAGAAAGCGAAATTCCTTTATAGTCAAGCGCAGCTGCTACTGAAAAACACTTCCAGACAGCCGCCTTTTTTGGAAACGATCATCTGGACCCTTTAATAAGCCCTTGAGAGGAGAAGGGCGGCGGGTATAGAAATGGGGGTGCGGCCGCGGCGGCAGGCAGGGAAAGAAGACTCCGATTTAGCTCAGAACTCACCTGAAAATATCATTTGGACCCAACGTCAGCAGACATTCTCACCTGCCGGCCTCATGCGGACTTCCAAGCGGCTTCATAGCAAGGCGTCGAAAAGCCAGATCCAGAGATCGCCCTCTAATGCTGGCGTCTTTTGGGGAGTCAAGGGGACGGGAACCGACTACGTAGGCGTGCCTTGCGGAAACAGATAGCGCCGGCTCTTTTGTAGAGGTTTGGTAAGGCTAGGACCGCGCACGGCTTATTAGTTACGGAGTCCTGTTTTTCCCCGCCCCCAGTAAAGCTGCTTTGTATTCCACTTTGAGCGATTCGTCCCGTCCAGTCCCCCCGCAATTATCCCCGCCCAATACGACATTGGTCTTCTACAATGCTGTGTCGCTCTCCGATCCCACCAGCATCTCGAAGTGCGCTTGTTTGCTAGCGGATAAGCTTGATCCTCCTTGTGCCAGACTAAATGTTCTCTGGTTGAGGCGGCTGGCAGGCAAATTGGTTG